AAGTGCTGGGATTACAGGCGTGAGCCACCGCGCCCAGCTTTTTTTTTTTTTTTTTTTTTTGAGACAGGCAGGGTCTTGCTGTGTTCAGGCTAGAGTGCAGTGGTGCAGTCAGCTCACTGTAACCTCAAACTCCTGTGCTTATGTGATCCTCCCACCTCAGGCCCCTCAGTAGCTGGGACTACACAGGCATGTGCTACTATGCCAGGATAATTTTTAAATTTTTTGCAGATTTGGGGTCTCACTATACTGCCCAGGCTGGCTGCTAACCTTTTTTTTTTTTTGAGACAGAGTCTTGCTCTGTCACCCAGGCTGGAGTGCAGTGGCTCAATCTTGGCTCATTGCAACCTCTACCTCCCAGGTTCAAGTGATTCTCCTGCCTCAGCCTCCCGAGTAGCTGGGATTACAGGTGTGCACCACTATGCCTGGCTAATTTTTTTGTATTTTTAATGGAGGTGGTGTTTTACCATGTTGACCAAGCTGGTCTTGAACTCCTGACCTCAAGTGATCCACCTGCCTCAGCCTCCCAAAGTGCTGGGAGTACAGGTGTGAGCCACTGCACCCAGCCCCATTCAGTTTTACATTCTGTGATTATGCTTTTCTCACTTTGCTGGTTTGATGACCTCAACAGTTTTGAGGAGTACCAGTCAGGGATTTTTTGTTTAGGGATTGGTCAGGTGTTTTCTTGGTGATTAGACTGAGGTTGTGTATTACAGGAGAAAGACTACAGAGGTAAAATGCTGTTTTCATCACTTCAGATCAAGGTCCCATGCTTTCAAGATGACACCACCTGGCTGAGGTAGCATGTCAGGTCTCCATGGTGACAGGTGCTTTCCCATCCCCACTGTATGTACTCTTTGGAACACTGTGCAGCCCACAGAGGAGGCGAGGCTCTACCTCCTGAGGGCAGTGTCTATGTAAATTACTTGGAATTCTGCATGGAGGGTTTCTAGTCACCCCCATTTTCTGTTTGTTTTTGAGATGGAATCTCTGTATTGCCCAGGCTGGAGTGCAGTGGCACGATCTCGGCTCACTGCAACCTCTGCCTCCTGGGTTCAAGCCATTCTCCTGCCTCAGCCTCCTGAGTAGCTGGGACTACAGGCATGCGCTACCATGTCTGGCTAATTTTTGTAGAGACAGGGTTTCAGCATGTTGGTCAGGCTGGCCTCAAACTCCTAACTTCGTGATCCACCCACCTCAGCCTTCCAAAATGCTGGGATTACAGGCATGAGCCACAGTGCCCAGCCTAGTTACCCCCATTTATTTATGTAGCCATTTGTTTATGTCAGTGTGGACATATGGATATTTATACTTCAGATTCTAGTCCAATTCTACTTTATTTTGCTGCTCACATTCTTTTGGCTTTGGCTGTTATGGCTTTTTCAGTTGGCTCTTGTGTCCCTTTCACATAAGCACATCTTTGATTGTTGTTTTTGAGTCCTTCCTTTCTGGCGGGCACTTCGGTATTCTCCAGGCATGTGCTGTGCATTTTCTGCCCCATCTCTAGAATCAGCCATTTCTCCAAGGACCCCTGATTTTTTTAAATTGGAGAATAGCATTAGAAACCTAATACTGGGAGCCAAGTGTGTTCTCTGCCTTCTGAGCTGACAGGACAAGGAAATGCATGATGTATGTAGTGACCTGTATATATACATATCATGATCAGCAGTTTTTCTTTTTTTGAAACAGACTCGTGAGAGTCTGTGTCATGCAGGCTGGAGTGCAGTGGTGCAATCTTGGTTTCATTGCAACCTTGACCTCCTGGGTTCAGGTGATCCTCCTACCTCAGCTTCTAGAGTACCTGGGACCACAAGCATGCATCGCCATGCCTGGCTAATTTTTAAGTTTTTTGATAGATATGGGGTCTCACTTGCCCAGGTTGGTCTCAAACTACTGGGCTCGTTATACTTCTGCCTTGGTCTCCTAAAGTGCTAAGATTATAGGCGTGGGTCACTGTGCCTCGCCACTATGGTATTTCTGTATGAAACCATCCGTACATATGAAGCTAAACATGACTTCATCCTGATATCGCCAGCTCTAATTCATTACCACATGGATTATTCTAGCCTCCTCCCCTTGCTTATCTTAGCTTCTCCCCTTGCTTCCTCTGTTTCCTCCCACTCCAACAGAGAGAAACCTGGCTCCCACCATCTGCCATCTATATGCAGCATTTTGTTATTCTCAGCAACTGTCATTACTAGAAACTGTTAACTTCCTTCTGTTTTTTAAAAAGAGTGATAGATTATAATGCAAACTGCTCTGTAATTGAATATTTCCCTGGGCAGACAACATATACCAGACATCGTTCCTTGTTTGTACACACGTCTACCTTGTCTTTTTCTTTTTTTTTTGAGATGGAGTTTCACTCTGTTTCCCAGGCTGGAGTGCAGTAAGTAGTGCAATGTCAGCTCACTGCAACCTCCACCTCCTGGGTTCAAGGGATTCTCCTGCCTCAGCCTCCCGAGTAGTTGGGATTACAGGCATACATCACCCTGCCTGGCTAATTTTTTTTGTATTTTTAGTACAGATGGGTTTTCACCATGTTGGCCAGGCTGGTCTTGAACTCTGGACCTCCAGTGATCCACCCACCTCAGCCTCCCAAAGTGCTGGGACTGAAGGTGTGAGCCACTGTGCCCAGCCTACCATTGCACAGTATTCCATGGTTTGAATGCTCTCTAGCTTATTCACTTCTTGCCTCTTGATGAACATCAGGTTATTTCCAGTCTTCTGCTACAACAGTGCAGTAGGGATTTTACTTTTTTGAACATATGGGGGGATTTCAGGAAAGTGAAGTGCGTGATCAAAGGGTATAGATGTTTTACAATACGAGAGTTGTGTGTGGTGGCTTATGCCTGTAATCCCAGCGACTAGGGGAGTGGACACTGCAGGGTCACTCGAGGCTAGGAGTTTAAGACCTGCCTGGGTAAGTAGCAAGATCTCATTTCTACCAAAAATTGTAAAATTTGCCAGGTATGGTGGTGTGCACTTGTAGTCCTAGTCGAGAGGCTGGGGCAGGAGGATCGCTTGAGTCCAGGAGGTTGAGGCTGCAGTGAGCCATAATGGCACCATTGCACCCCAGCCTGGGAGACAGAGAACCTGACACCTCTCACCCTCCCAAAAAATGAAAAAAATCTGACATGCAAACAGGTATAATGAACACCTACATCTGTACCTTCCAAATGTTACTGGATAGGTAAAGCTCTATCCGCCCTTCCTCTTCTCAGTCCTTCTCCCTCACTGAATTAACCACTATTGATTCAGGCTTTCACAGCCTTCTGGCTGATGTTCACAAACTCTTTACCAGTGTTTGGTACTACTCCACGGTAACGTACATTCTGATGTACACTTTCTCTCCTCAGCCAGCCTGGCCCATGAGCCATGTTTAGAGGATATGAGGCGGTATTGTGCATATTGATATGTTGCTACACTTGGCTTCACTGTTTAGGATTTATCTAGGTTGATAATATAGTTCTAGCTTATTTCATAGTTGAGTATCATCTGAATGTGCCTGAATATAGTCACCCATTTTCCTGCTAGTGGTTTCATTTCTCTCCAGAAACTCTCCTGTGGCTCTTCCCCATGTGAGATTTTCTAGGCCTATCTAGGAGTGGACCTGAGAGGTAGGTGGGTGCTGAGAGCATCTCTAGGCTCACTGATGGATTTTGGTCACTCCCTAGAGTGCATCCTTGCCAACTGCTCCATCCTTGGTATCAGAACACCCACTTCTTGGGATATTACCATGTGATTTTAATTTGCCAGTCTGGAGTTGAGCATCTTTTCACATGTATGAGCTATTCATTTTCTCCTGTTTATACCATTTAACCATTTTGTCTTTTGGGGTTGTAGCTGCATTTTCCAAATATTTTGATTTGCAATTTATTGGATGTGACACAGCTTTATTTTTCTCAAGGCAACCACCCATATAACAATCCAACTTTTATCTACTAAGCTTCGCCACCACCCTTCTCAAATGATGGATCTGATTACTATGGCTTAAGGTTTGGTGTACTTCTTGGTTATCTTGATGTTAGGATCAGCCCAAGGCCACCATTGGTATTCTCATAGATTGGTATGAATTACATATCACTCCCATTCGGCTGTCAATTATCCCCGAATCATTAGACATTCCCATCTAGGAATGACATGTTTGATCCAGTATGACCCTTGGTTGCTTATTGTTCATTCCAATTTCCTTCGTATGCCTGATTGCACTGACTGGCACCTCTAGAACTGTGTTAAGCAGTGGGCCGTAGTGGACTTGGAGTGCAACTTTCAAGTGTTAACACTTTCGGTTTCTCCTTGTTATAAGCGATACATAAAAATAATTTTAGAAAATGGATGTTAAATTTTATCAAACTTTTTTCTCCAGTAGAATTGATAGATTTTAAAATTAGATTTATAGAATCATCCAGCTATCCTTGTATCCTGGAATTTTAAAAAGTGATAAAAGAATCATCTTAGTTCACAAAACCAAAAAGCCCAACCCCAAACCCATCACTGCCAAATAAGCACTAACCAGCAAATGAATTCCAACAGTTTCAGTTCCAGTCCACCTCTCTGTTCTATACCTATCAGCAACAGGGATGGAGAAATTCACATTGTGAATCTGGAGAGCGTAAACAGCATCTCTCCATTGCTAGTCTCTAAATCTTTCCAGGCTGCTAACAATGGAGAGAGCGGAGCCTTGGCTTTCTTCACCACGCCAACAAGTGAGGCCTTGTGTGTGTTTCTTAAGACTCTACTGATGACACACACGCAGCTTCCCCATCCTTAAGGGGCAGGAAGCCAGGGTGGGCTTCACATGAGTGGACCTTCTACCAGTCAGCTTGTCTACTGTGAAGTCAAGTCCACGAGGCTCCTGTTCCATCTAGTCACATGGCCACCCTGACCAGCCTGAGCCTCCCCTGCCTCCCTCTAGAGGAGCAGGCCTGGGTGTGGGATGGAGGCCCTCGGTGCCCATCACTCCCCCTCCCACAGGAGAACAGTCACCACGACACTGAGAATTTATCATAGAATAGATTTATTTACCTGAAACCATGACTGTGCGACGCTCATTGTTACTAGCACAGAAAGAAACTGATCTCTATTTACAGTCTAAAGTCAAACATGCATTGTGATAAACTGACATTTAGCATTTTATTAAGATAAATGCATCACAATATTTGTATTGCACCAACATCTGTCTACTGCTTCTGATTTCATTAAATAAGTCACATTTAATACAGTGCAAAAGAGCTGTCTGCACACTCAGAAAATAACTGAAAATGAACTGGAGGCCTACATTTTAACCAACACCTGTAGTATTTTTAATGAATTTATAAATAAGCAAACTGTACAGGGCCAATTAAAAAGTAGCATGTTCCAATGTCACTGGAGAGGAATCTGGCTACTTAAAACTGAAGGCATGCATTACAACTGAATACTGTACATTTATATAAGCTATGACATTTTGCAGAGAAATGTGGCGACTTGGCTGACGACTTCTAAGTTCTTGGATAAGGTTTCAGAGCCTCATTCTTCTTGCAGCAAAGAAACCAAAATTCTCTGGAGAGCCTTTCTGATTAAGCTAAATTGTACATTTGTAATTATTATTTTGATTTAAAAGCTAACAACCCCATTGGTAATACACATTTCCTCCACATAACACACAGTGAGTTGGGAACTTTTTTTTACTTTTCTTTTTCCCCAACATCAATCATGCAGAGGGTTGGTAGATGTGTTGCTAAAAACGCACATGCACGCAACCGAACACCCTTACATTTCTGCAAAATGGTTTAGGAAGCGGTTACTCCAGTATTGCTGAAAAGGAAAGAGAGAGGAAATCAGCTTCATGAAATACAGAGAGGAAATGTTAGAATAGCTATTTAAATAGATGAAGATCAACAGCGACAGATGAAAAGGAACATTCAGCTTGATCTTTTCAGTTTCAAGACCAGCATTTCTGATTTACTGTCCCTGAGGCGCTGCCCACACAGGGTAGCATCTAGAAGCACTGGCTCAGTGACACAGATTCCTTGTGTCGTCTGGCTACAGAATAAAGGTTCTGGATGAAAACCCCACAAGGCAGACACAATCACTGCAGGTGTGAAAGCAGCGAGACAGGCAAGAGGACAAGGTCTTGATTAGTGGTGAGAGGGTGAGGTTGATGGAATAGTGAGCAGCCCTGCAGCAGCACAGCCTTCCTGCTCCTGCCCTGTCTGTGGGCACCTTAGCCTCTAGCCGATGGACTGCCCTGCCCTGCCCTGCCCTGGAGGGGAAACTGCGGTCCTGGGGCAGCTCCTTCCTTTCACTGTTTTCAGTAAAGGAGGCTGAAGCCTACTCTTCTTGCTAACTGCAGGGGGTGTTTGGACAATTCGGTGGTTAGTCACAGGGTAACTGCTGCCTCCTTGCTCACAGGCACTATAGACGTGGTATGCTCTGGCCCTGGGCAGTGGCTAGGTGCTTGGTAGACACTAAGCTAAGGCTTGTAGTCTCAGATTTTTTTTTTTTTTATTAAAAAAAAAAGTTTTTAACTATATATATAATTTTTTTTTTGAGACAGAGTTTCGCTCTTGTTACCCAGGCTGGAGTGCAATGGCATGATCTCGGCTCACCGCCATCTCTGCCTCCTGGGTTCAAGCAATTCTCCTGCCTCAGCCTCCCGAGTAGCTGGGACTATAGGCGCATGCCACCATGCCCAGCTAATTTTTTGTATTTTTAGTAGAGATGGGGTTTTACCATGTTGACCAGGATGGTCTCGATCTCGACCTCATGATCCACCCACCTCGGCCTCCCACAGTGCTGGGATTATGGGTGTGAGCCACGGCGCCTGGCCTAATTTTATATTTAAGACAGTTTCACCATGTTGGTCAGGCTGGTCTTGAACTCCTGACCTCAGGTGATCCGCCCGCCTTGGCCTCCAAAGTGCTTGGATTATAGGCGTGAGCCACCATGCCCGGCCAGTCTCAGGTCTTCTGAGGTCTGCCTGCCTCACTCAGGACTGAGGTTCCAGCCCAAGGGGATGGGGGATCAGCTGTTGTGAGGGAGGTCGCTGAGATGCCCTGCTTGCCTGGGAGCTCACCGAGCTTAAGGGATGGCTTCCTCCAGAATGGATCATCTGGGTTTTGCAGAGTGAGCTACTACTGTGGTGTCCCAGTTAGGGTATGTGTGAGGTTGTTGGTCTTCTGGACAAAGCTCAAAGAAGCTAAGGGAGGCATAGGGCGGCAACAGGTGATACTGATGGCTGGGCCTTCAGTCACCTGCCCATCAAGAAAGAATGTGGAGTTGAGTTTCAGACAAGAGCTGCCTGACAGCAGGCACACTGCATCGGGGGAGGCGGGGCGGGGGTGGGGGGAGGTGCTGAGCAGCTACTGCCTTACTGCTGGGTAGGGCCCTGAGGTCAGGGGTGCACCAAGACCATGGTGCTGGACCTGGTCCTTACAGGTTGACTAAGGAGGGGGAGATGCTGAGATGTTTTCACCTGGCAAAGCTTTCAGTGGAATGGACCAAGCGGCCCTGCTCAAAGCAGCAGTCGCCCTAACCTGCTTCCAGCTGTCTGGGACAAAGGAAGGTGGGTCCCTCTATGGCCTCCTCTGTGGGCTGGAGGGGTCGGAAGCCGAGAAACCATGAGGCTGGCCAGGAGTGTGCCTCCCACAGCAGGCCAAACTACTCTACATTTTTGGTAAAAGCCGCTAGGTCAAAGAACTGCGTCACGAAAAGCTGACTCTGAGTTTTGTTTGCACTCAACAGTAATAGTGCAGCAGTCAGTTTGCAGCCCAGAGATGCACTCCTTACATTTGGTCCATTCAACCCATTTCTGGTTATACCTCATGATGCTCAAACTGGCAAAATCTACCCCCTGCCCCAAATGTTCCCTGCTGGGCAAGGCAGCCTCCCTTCCCAAGAGCCACAGCTGCCTGCCAGCAGCCCTGGAGGCCTCAAAGTGAACCTGTTTCTTTTTGAGACAGAAAGGGCCTTACTCTGTCACCCAGGCTGGCCTCCAATACCTGGGCTCAAGCAATCTTTCCGCTTTGGCCTTCGAAGGGCTGGGACTACAGGCATGAGGCATGAGCCACCGTACCCAGCCATGGACTGTGCTTTTAGTTGCGCTCCAGGTTCCATCTCCATTCCTTGGACCTCTGAACTCAGCGGCACCTTGTCCTGCTTGATGTCTCCTAACCACCCCCAAACTCTATCATCTGCATTACAACTACTGGCCGTCCCAGTAACTAGAGCCTAATACATTTCTGAGAATGTAGTTGATGCCTCACACCCTGGCTAAGGAGCAAGCTGGTTTTTGGGCTGTCTAGAGCCATGTCCTGCTTTAACATCCCCTGCAGAGGTAAGTCTTAGCCACAAACGACATGACCCAGCAAGGGGGAGAGGGGGTGACCTATTTAAGATGAACCTAGTGATACCCCGAGTTCACTGGTTTTAGCTTTTTAATGAACAAGTAGCAGTGCTGTGGGATGATTCCTGGCAGCTGTGAACCCTCATTTTAGCAGTAGAGGCTGCACAGCTCCTTCAGCCTGTTGGTCTGGCTGAAAAATGCCTCTCCCGACTCTGGCTTGGGCCCTCCTGGTCGTCTTGTGGAGCCACTGTCTAGGCAGTCTGGAAGCCACACCACCAGCCAGCTTATGGCGTGCTTGAGTCACAAAGCAGGCGCCACAGGCAACCCTGCTGCTCACAGGGCATCAGGGAGCACAGCAGCGTCTGACATGGGGGCAGTTTATTCATTAGTGACATATAGTTATCTCACTTGGTGGCAGCCAGTCACTTTTAGGCTAAAGGATCCAAATCCCAGGGAAGAAAATACTCACATTAGTTGATGGATGTTGGAAGGCATTGGAGGAAAACACCACAGTTAGGACTGTTAATGACTTACACACTGTTGGTGAGACTCATCTTGAACATGCGCAAACATTGATCGTAGTAACGGTGGTGGTGGTTAGTGCCACATTCAAATAAAAATAGTTCTATACAATATGTTCATTTGGTCATGTGCTATTTACAGATTGTACAAAACACACACATACACACGCACACTTGCCCTTATGTTCTCTACACCAGGCCAGCAGAAACTTGCATAAAATGTACATCACAGATAACAATTAGTGCCTGTACATTAAGAATACAATTCCTATGACTACCTACGCAGCAGAGCAGGAGCCTTCTTCCCCTCAAGCAGAGTACAACTAAAGTTCTGAGCTAAGAACTGGAGAGAAAGTTGGACATGTCTGTTAGTCCCAGGTAGGCCACTTAAGAGTTAAAAACAAGACAGTTATTTTTCTCTGTCCATTTAAAATGTTTTATTTTTCTTTTTAAACTAGATCGTGACGTGCCACTGAAATAGGCAATGTTGGCAAAACAATGTCTGTTACAATAAAATACATTAGACATTTAAATAAATAATCTTAAAAACTATGTGAAGGGACATAAACCCGGTCGATTGACTCTGGAACGATGTTTTCTGCACAAGCGAGTACAGGCATACCTCTCGTTAAAACTGATGTAAACAGAACGAACCACCGCAATCCTACAGAAGAAGCCAAGCGGGGCAGGGGTGGGGGGGTGGGGTGGTGAATGGAGGCCAAAGTGGGTGAGGGGAAGTAGCAAACCAAAACAATACTGACTGAGGTAGCAGGACTCTGCTCAGTGCAGAAAAATTGGCTTATGAATAAAAATTAGACTGTGATATCAAATTAAATCCAGATCATCATGCAAAAGACACAATACATGCTATTTAGTTTTAGAAAAAACCACACACATTCATTTCATTTCCTAAAATCTGCTGCCAATTAATTTGCTGACAATGTCTGCTGGCTCAACTATTTTTTTTTTATACAAGGATGAGTATTAAACAGAACACTGTACATGCTTTTTCATCTACAAAAAAATATTTGCATAAAATAGTGTTAGTTCTCTGTACATGTCAATGGACACTTTAATTATGTGTATAAAAAAGGAAAATCTTGCCCCACTGGAGTCAGAAAAAGCAAAACAAAAATCTAGAGTATGAAACCTCCATCACCAGCCAGTATGTTCATGTGAAAATTCAGCAGAGATAGACAGTTGCTTTAAACAATAAAAAAATTAATTGATTAAGTTAAACATCTTCTTTATGGAAAACTGTCAGTCAAGACCAGAACATATCACTAAAGTTAGTGTCTGTGCTATAGACCCAGATCACCAGGGGCATTATGAGCAGCACAAACGGCCAGGAAATCCCATCGGTGCATGCCGAGAACGAGCAGGATTTGGTGGCAGGCTGCACACACTCTTTACCAGGTTCCAGGTAGTTGCGGGCCACAAACTTGAGCGTCTCATCCATGAGAATCACAGGCAAGGAGATTTTCAGCACCATCAGCCACTGGGTCACGTTCAGCGGTGTGATCTGGAAGATGAGCTGACGCACAGAGAAGGCATGTCATGCCTCCAGCCTCTCCAGGAAGGAGGTGGCCTGTCCCCAGCCCAAGCCCCCCAATCACTTACTGGCAAGGGTTCGACATAGAGGATCAGGAAGTGAAGTGACATGGACAGGCAGATGGAGCCCACGAGCCAGATGTTCTCCCAGGGAGGCATCCTCAGTAAGGACTGGTTTTCGGACAAGCTGCAGAGCAAGGAGAGGTGGAGGAACGCACCCCCAAGGCAAGCATGTAGTAAGACACTGTTGGACTACACTTCAGAAAAGCAGCTGTTAACTTGGCACCGTCCGCTGACCTAACTCACTCCACCAACTTTTTATGGTGGCAAAGTTGAAGAGGAGAATGTCCCAATGTAGGACAAACTGAGTTTGACATCTACGTTTTGGCACAGCAGACCCATCTCAGTGCATTCAAAGCTGCTCCCAATTGCCCTGAACACTTGGGCTACTTACAAATTTCCATTTTTGTCACAGGCTTAATTGGATAGTACCATTTGTCTGTGTGAAGGGGTGAGGTTCCTTCGCTGTGGGTGCTGGCATACAGGGCTACCAAAGTTCCTATTTTTGGACCCCACGGTTTCTTTTAAGGAAGAGCTCCTAAGAAACACAGGGCTAAGCACTCCCACTACTTCCTGGAGGTGACGACAGCTTATGCTTTTAATACTGGTGTTGCCTGTTCTTTCTTTTTGGAAGGGAAGAATTGTCCTGTGATCCTCAATCAACTGTGACCACACAAAATTTCCTGGTGCCCTGGCCATTGGCACGCTCGCCCCAGCCTGCTGTGAAGGTGCACTAACCTGTTGAGGGCGTTACACATTTCTATGGTTACTAGAACAGAGAGCGCCATTGTCATCGGGTATGGGGATTCAAAGATTGCACAATCCACGCCTTCAAAATCCGGGTTATCCTCTTTACACTGTAGGAAATGACTCTGCAACAAAAATCCAATCAAACGCCTATCAGCCCAGTATATTTCTCAAGTCCAGGCACCAACTCCATACCAAGACTAGCACAGACCAGCCCAAGAGAAGAGCCAGCCAAGGGGTTGACCCCAACTTCCCAGAGAAGCCCTGGTCCCTCAGAATCATCTTAGATGTAACTGCTTATCATTTAAGCCTTAAGATGATTTGATAGACACCCAAACCACAGAAAGGTCAAGGCCTCACAACACTTCTCATGTAAGGAACAAAAAGAAAGGTGGCTGAGTACCAGCTGGTAGAAGGACACTCTCGGACCGCCATCAGCAGCAATGAACCACCATGCGGCAGCACCCACGGTAGCAGCGCCGACGTAACCTGGGAACAAACATGATGCTGAGGCACTTGCCTCTGCCACTGCAGGGCCCACTGCCACCAAGGCCACAGAGGCCAATCCACATAAGGAAGAAGATCAAAGACATGGGATGGTAATAACATATCACCAGAATCTGTGGTGCTACCAGCAAACTGCTCATGCCTGGCAGCCAGAGCAACTAAAGCCTGGTTTCTGAAGGACAGGGATATTTCTGGTACAGAAGAACTGGGTAATTTTTCCTCTACAATGTGTGAGAAAAAGCAACTGCTGAATCTTGTGCCAACCTTTACCCTGGCTGTGCCTTCTCCCCTAAGGGAGCAGTACTTCAAGGCTGCAAGTGTGTATCCTCCAATGTAAGGCTAGATAACACCATGACTTCTGGGCAAACTAATGCTGCCTAGTTGTACACGAATTTATTTGCTCCATTAAAGGCCCAGCAGCAGCTTTCTAGGGAAATGCTGTCAGGAGCTAGGGTAGAACACTGAGCAGCATGGCCCTGGCCTCAGCAGCTCCTGGGATTCCCCCCAACATTAGCGTTCAGTTCAGGAAGTTTACTGCAAAGAAGCAGCTAGGTGCAGCAAAGAATACACAGAATTCAGATGAGGTGAATATCCCCATGTGGCAGCATCAAAAATGACAAGTGGGGCCGGGCATGGTGGCTCACGCCTGTAATCCCAGCACTTTGGGAGGCCAAGGTGGGTGAATCACGAGGTCAAGAGATCGAGACCATCCTGGTCAACATGGTGAAACCCCGTCTCTACTAAAAATACAAAAAATTAGCTGGGCATGGCAGTGCGTGCCTGTAATCCCAGCTACTCAGGAGGCTGAGGCAGGAGAATTGCCTGAACCCAGGAGGTGGAGGTTGCGGTGAGCCGAGATCGCGCCATTGCACTCCAGCCTGGGTAACAAGAGCGAAAGTCCGTCTAAAAAAAAAAAAAAAAAAAGACAAGTGCATATACCCACTAACCCAGTAATTACAATGGAGCACGAAGCCCCTGGCTGCAAGGATGAGGCACTATGCCTGTCCCAATGTGGAAGGATCTGACAAGCAGGAAGACGTTGAGACAAAGTCATGCAGCATGCACAGCATGCTGGAATCTCTCTGGAAGGGCACAGGGTACATGAGCTCCTCGATGCCAGAGGGAAGTGACTGGCCCAAAACCTTTCCACTTTATGCCATCGTGTGCTTTTTGAATTTTAAGTTGTGTGAATATATTATGAAAACACGCCTTCCTATGGGATTTGCAGGGAAGTGATTTCGACTCACTTTCCCAATCTTGAATTTGATTGGATTGGAACCAGCACATGGGGGAGGAAGATGATGGCTACAGAGATGATTCATATACAATAGGGCCTAGCCACTGCACAACCCTTCTCTTGCTTATGGAAACAGGGACTAAGCTTTATGTCTTGGTGACAATTATCTATTCAAATCCCGTCTATGAACTCTTAGAAGGCAGAACCCAGACTGAGTCATCCTTATCCCTTTGTACACGGGCCTGATGTTTAATTGCTCATTCACAAAAGCCCAGATAAGGGCAGGATGCTAAAACTGGAACTAACTGAAAGGACTTTAGTAAATTGGGTGTATAGTTCATCAAACTGTAAGAGGGCATCCTCCATCTTTTGCTACCCTATATGGGGACAGAAGAAAAAATAGGTTTTTAAGAGATGAGTTTACAAAATTTCAGCTCACAAACATTTCGTTTAAAAATCAGCAATATAAAAAACTGTACTCACAGCCAATAGCCAAGTAACGGAAAAAGAGCCACCCGCTGATCAATGGTTCCTTTGGGTTCCGGGGAGGTTTATTCATGATGTCCAGGTCAGGAGGGTTGAACCCCAGTGCAGTGGCAGGCAGGCCATCTGTCACCAGATTGACCCAGAGCAGCTGGACAGGAATCAAAGCCTCAGGAAATCCAAGGGCTGCTGTCAGGAAAATACTGTTTCCAATCAAGGAAAGAAGACACAGAAAGCCCAAATGATTTCTAGCTACTATTTAAAGAGCATCATCACCCCTTCCTCCTCCATAAAAATACACAACAACAATGATTAACTTTGGGCAATGAGTAAAAACACTTATACCCAATTTGGAATTAAGGTTGCCTTTTCCTAGTTTATTACTTAAATTCAGCTGACTGAGGCTGGGTGCAGTGGCTCATGCCTATAATCTCAGCACTTTGGGAGGCCAAGGTGGGTGGACTGCCTGAGCTCAGGAGTTCGAGACCAGCCAGGACAACATGGCGAAACCTCATTTCTACTAAAACACAAAAAAGTAGCCAGGCATGATGGCGCATGCCCATAATCCCAGCTACTTGGGAAGCTTGAACCCAGGAGGTGGAGGTTGCAGTGAGCTCAGATTGTGCCACTGCCTGCAGCCTGGGTGACAGCAAGACTGTCTACAAAAATAATACTAAAAGAAATAATTAAGCTGACTGAGATAAAGCCAACTCTTGGAGGGCAAGAATTTCACGTAACTCCTTGGTTAAGTTAGGCTCAGTTTCCGTTAAAGAGGATTCTTTGTGCATGCTGGGGCAGCTATAGACAGCCCTCCCAAGGGAGGAAGCAGCATGCCTTCCACAAGGCATTTCTGTCTTGCCCACTCCTCGCTTCCAACTCAGGCACAAAGACAAAAGCTGGGGCAATCTGGAGCACAAAGTAGAAGAACTGAGCTCCGTGACCCATTAGATAAAAGCATGCACGTGATGCTGTCACAGAGACCTACCAGACAACTTCCCCCACGTTGGACGAGATGAGGTAGCGGATGAACTGCTTCATGTTGTTGTAGATTGCCCGCCCCTCCTCGACAGCAGCCACAATGGTAGAGAAGTTGTCATCCGCCAGGACCATCTCAGAGGCGGTTTTAGCCACTGCAGTGCCAGAGCCCATGGCAATGCCAATCTCGGCTTTCTTCAGAGCAGGAGCATCATTCACGCCATCACCAGTCTGAAAGGGAAAGCAATGGTTGGGTCAGCCAACTGGCATGTCACGTTCACAACCCTGAGCAAAGGCTCACTAAATGGAAAGCAGGAGGAAAACGAACAGAGCTGTCGGTCTCTTGGCAAAGAGTCATAAAACTGTTTCCTAAGTTGGTGTCATAAAACACATTATACCTAGGAAATGTAAAATTACCAAATGAGATTACCGAAGTGGACAAAGGGGACTTCAAAATTATCTGTGTATCTTGCTAAAAACAAAAACACAACCTATGTGGCAGTCAAGAGGAAGTGCTTGTATCCACATGGATAAATTTCAAGTAGAAAGGTGAAGATTCCAAAAATACGTACATTTTATTTTTTGAGATGGAGTCTGACTGTTACCCAGGCTGGAGTGCAGTCTCAGCTCATTGCAACCTCCGCCCTCTGGTTTCAAGTGATTCTCCTACCTCAGCCTCCCGAGTAGCTGGGACTACAGGTGCGTGCCACCACACCCAGCTAATTTTTTTCTTTTGTGTTTTTAGTAGAGACGGAGTTTCACCACGTTAGGATGGTTTGATCTCCTGACCTCATGATCTAGCCACCTCTGCCTCCCAAAGTGCTGGGATTACAGGTGTGAACCACTGAGCCCAGCTGTAAGATTTTTTTTTTTAAAGAAAAGAAAGTAAATTTAACAATATATCTGGGTGAAAATCAGGTGAGGGGAAAAATATTGGAAATGCTTCATCAATAAGCCAGCTCTTAAAGAGCATCCAACTTAAAGCAGGGTGATCCACACACAGGGTGAGAGAACACTGACTGATCACAGCCTCAATTTTCAGAAAACTTAAGATTAAAAACAAGTCTCCTTTAACAAAGAGACTAGATCACCAGATTGCTCCTCTAGGACTGATTTAAAAGGCCCTTCTGGGTCTTAAGCTACTCTGGGATCTTCCCTGCAAATAGCATATAACATGCCAACTACTGATGATTAGAATTTTAGAGAAAAGACCCAAATCATGACAGAAATTTCAAATTAGAAAGCTATGACAAAAAATTCAGTGGTCAAAATTAGGATGTACTATATGCTCATTTACCCCGAGTCACCTGTACATGTTCAAACATGCTCACCATAGCTGTAATCTCATCAAAAGACTGAAGAAATTCTACGATTTTAGACTTGTGAGAGGGTTCAACTCTAGCAAAACAGCGGGCATTCAGGCAGGCATCTCGCTGGGCCGAGGGGCTGAGTTCATCAAACTCCCGGCCTGTGAAAGCTTTTGACGACACATCCTCATCCTGCCCGAAGATGCCGATGCGGCGACAGATGGCCACAGCAGTGCCCTTGTTGTCTCCAGTGATCATGATGACCCGAATGCCTGCTTGTCGGCACAGCTTCACAGAGGAGGCCACCTCGATTCTCGGAGGATCCAGCATGCCCACGCAGCCAACGAAGGTCAGATTGGTCTAAAGTAAGAGCATCACTTTAAATAAAAGTGGCAAATTCTGGGTTTTGTCCCCTAGTTTGAAAAATGCCCAGTTAAACAGAGACAAGTTTCCGCATTTTCTTTCTGAGATGGAGTTTCGCTTTTGTTGCCCAGGCTGGAGTGCAATGGCGCTATCTCGGCTCAATGCAACCTCTGCCTCCTGGGTTCAAGTGATTCTCTGGCTTCAGCCTCCAGAGTAGCTGGGATTACAGGCATGTACCACCACACTTGGCCAATTTTATATTTTTAGTAGAGATGGGGTTTCTCCACGTTGGTTGGGCTGGTCTCAAACTCCCAACCTCAGGTGATCCACCCCACTCGGCCTCCCAAAGTGCTGGGATTACAGGCATGAACCACCACACCTGGCCAGTTTCTGCATTTTCTTATAAGAAAAAAATACCACTATACCCGTTACCAAACCATTCTTTAACTCTTGTGCTATTCTGAGCACACAGTACCAAAGTTTGTTCCTTTTGTTCATACCTGTAGGATGTCACATCCTTGATATGAAAGAATTACACTCTTGAGTAGAAAAGTGTAAAGAATCTCTAACTTGGATCTTTTGACCTTTAGTAACTAATGAATATTCTAGAAATATCTCCATTAAAAAAAAAATCATGATTTAGATGAGCTGCAAAATGGGGTTTATAAGCTTATTTAAATTCATCTTGATTATTCCTCTTTCAAAATAAACTTTTACAAAATTATTAACTAAGTCTGAAGCAGCAATCTAAATTTTAAGGGTGACGTGGTTGGTAAGCAGAAAAACAACCACACCTCTTTCTTGGCAAAAGTGAGAACTGTTTGACCTTTCGCTTGAAGGAGTACTGTTTAACACAATGAATCGCGCAGGGTGTGGACAAAGAAACTTTTCATTAGCTAACCTCATATTTAATAAAGTTGGCAGAGTCTTCAAGGTGCATTTCTTCTCTTCTCAGTGGGTTGTCATGAGTAGCCAGGGCCAGGCATCGCAGTGTGTCGCTGCCACTACCCCACTCTCGAATGACAGACATTATCTTCTGTTTGACTCCAGGGGTCATTGGAACCTTAGTACTTCCAACTCGAATGTGGGTGCACCTGTCAATGACACCTTCAGGAGCACCCTGGAAATGTTACAGATTTAAATAAACGATTTTGTTTTATTGGCTCACTAGGATCTTCACCCTGGTAAGAACATCTCAATTGTGGTTTGCCATACTTGCCTTCACAAACATCTTGCTCATTGATGTCCTGCTTGGTTTATTTGGTGTACAATAAACTGACATTGATTTTCTATCACGTGAAAACTCTAGAGTAAATTCCTTTTTCATCAGCTGTTTAATGACCTACGAAGGGAAAAAATAGGAAATACTACTGGATGACAATTTCTGAACTTTACTTGTTTAACAAATATTCACTAAGCACGTATTACATGACAGATGCTGGGGATATAGCAATAAACAAAACAAACGAGTTTTTGCCCTCATGAAACTTGTCCCCTATTTTGGGAGACAGACTAAGATGCAAAAGTAACCCAAATGCTATGGAGAAAAAGGGAAGGGGGATAAAAAACTTGAGTATCTACAGATTGTACTGTTACATAAAGTGGTCAGAAGGCAGCGACACTTGAGTAAAACCCTGAAAAGATGTGTGAGCCAGGTGGGTGGTGGTGAAGACCCACTGAGCAGAGAACAAACGTGCAGCCTGGTGGCTCCTGGAATGGTGAGGGAGTGCCAGTGTGGCTGGAACAGAGTTTACATAAGAGAAAGGTGAGACAGGTAATGGCAGAGAGTGGTAGAAGCAGGTCGTAGGACCTCAAAGGTAATTATGGGGCATTTGGGTTTTATAACGAGTAAAAAGGGAAGACAATGGAGGGTCTCCTAGCTATTAAGGAGTCTGGGCATGGTGGATCACTTGAGGTCAGCAAGTTTGAGACTAGCCTAACCAATATGGTGAAACCCTGTCTCTACTAAACTACCACAATTAGTCACGCATGGTGTCGGGCGCTTATAATCCCAGCTACTCAGGAGACTGAGGCAGGAGAACTGCTTAAAGCCAAGGGCCAGAGGTTGCAGTGAGATGAGATCGTGCTACTTCAGTGCAGCCTGGGTGAAAGAGTAAACCGTCTCAAAAAAAAAAAAAAAAATTGGCTGGCTTTTTAAGCGCCATCTGCTTGCGGCGCCGCCTCCTGCTCCTCCCGCCGCTGCTTCCGCCCTGAGTCACTGCCTGTGCAGCTCCGGCCGCCTGGCTCCCCATACTAGCTGCCGATATTTGGAGTTCTTACAACATGGCAGACATTGACAACAAAGAACAGTCTGAACTTGATCAAGATTTGGATGATGTTGAAGAAGTAGAAGAAGAAGAAACTGGTGAAGAAACAAAAATCAAAGCACATCAGCTAACTGTTCAGGTGATGCAAAATCCTCAGATTCTTGCAGCCCTTCAAGAAAGACTTGATGGTCTGGTAGAAACAACAGGATACACTGAAAGCCTGCCTAGGGTAGTTAAAAGATGAGTGAAGGCTCTCAAAAACCTGCAAGTTAAATGTGCACAGATAGAAGCCAAATTCTATAAGGAAGTTCACGATCTTGAAAGGAAGTATGCTGTTCTCTATCAGCCTCTGTTTGATAAGCGATTTGAGATCATTAATGCAATTTATGAACCTACGGAAGAAGAAGGTGAATGGAAACCAGATGAAGAAGATGAGATTTCGGAGGAATTGAAAGAAAAGGCCAAGATTGAAGATGAGAAAAAGGATGAAGAAAAAGAAGACCCCAAAGGAATCCCTGAATTTTGGTTAACTGTTTTTAAGAATGTTGACTTGCTCAGTGATATGGTTCAGGAACACAATGAACCTATTCTGAAGCACTTGAAAGATATTAAAGTGAAGTTCTCAGATGCTGGCCAGCCTATGAGTTTTGCCTTAGAATTTCACTTTGAACCCAATGAGTATTTTACAAATGAAGTGCTGACAAAGACATACAGGATGAGGTCAGAACCAGATGATTCTGATCCCTTTGCTTTTGATGGACCAGAAATTATGGGTTGTACAGGGTGCCAGATAGATTGGAAAAAAGGAAAGCATGTCACTTTGAAAACCACTAAGCAGCAGCAGAAACACAAGGGACGCAGGACAGTTCGTACTGTGACTAAAACAGTTTCCAATTACTCTTTCTTTTTTTGCCCCTCCTGAAGTTCCCAAGAGTGGAGATCTGGATGCTGCTGCTGAAGATATCCGTGCTGCAGACTTCGAAATTGGTCACTTTTTATGTGAGCGTACAATCCCAAGATCAGTGTTATACTTTACTGGAGAAGCTACTGAAGATGATGATGATGATGATGATGATGATGATGATGAAGGTGAAGCAGCAGATGAGGTAATGTTTACCAAATGAGCAAATATGTTTAACACATTGAGAAGCAAACTGAATGACTTATGTATTCCTTTGCTATAATCATTCTGTGATTTGGGATAAAAAACATTTTGGAAAATATGATTTTAGAATTCTACAGCCAAACAATGTATGTATAAGGTTTCAATAAATTGCAAAACTAAAAAAAAAAAAAAAAACTGGCTGGAGACAAGGAACACCACTGAGTATAATGACACTGACTTGAGCTATGGAGTGTGGAGGTGGAGACATGGCCTGGAGCAGAGCTGTCCACCATAACTCTGTGTGAAAATGGCAATCCTCTGTGGCCACTGTTCATGTGGCTGTCACATGTGGCAGATAAGTGCTTGAAGTGAATATGGCTAGGGTACCTAATGAACCGTTTTCAAGTATTCTAAGTAGCTTTAGATAGCTAGTGGCTACTGATTAGAATTTAGTCATGACACCAGAAGAGAACACAGGAGTAACTATAGACAGAAATGGCTGAGGACTATGCATAGAGCCTTCACCTCCTGGTGCTTTGTGAAAGATCTAGCTGAGAAGACCTTGAAGGAGAGGCTAGGGAGGGAAAACAAGTGTGGGATTAGGAAAGCCAAGTGAAGAGGCGCTTTAAAGAGGGAGCGAGTGACAGCACCAACCAATTTTTAAGATGGAGACTGAGAATTAATCTTTGGCTTTACACCATTACCTACAACTAAAGATACCACACTCTCTGCCAGTTTTTGTATTTTTCTTGCCTATTACACAGATCAGGAATGCCAGTATAATACTGAGTAGAAATGGTGAGAATTCTGTTGCCCCGAAGTAGGATGTTACCATGGTTTCTGTGTAAACACACCGTCAGTGTTAAAGACATGCTTTTCTAGTCAGTTTGGTGTGACAGATGAAGTTTCATCATATGCATCTACTGAGGTGATTTTGTCATTTTCCAGCTTAATTTGGTTAATGTGGTAAGTTAATTACATCAATTTGCCCCCACTGACACACATTTAAAAATCCTCATAGAAATCACCAAGAACATTAGCATCTAACCTAGGAAGCTACAGGAGCCCCAAAGCCTGCTCAGCTGACGAGATGGGGCTCAGGGCCCTGCAGTGATCCTGCTGGCCTGCCAGCCACTGAACCACTTCAGGCAGCAAAGGAGTGGGTATGAGTGCGATCCTGGATTCTGCATCATCTCAATCACACCTGTTTAGTTTCAATTAATAATTTACACCAATGGTACTGGGAAGACTAAAGGAATGTGCAGTGATTCTGAGGAAGCCATGGACCTACCCAGGTAAGAGGTCTTAGGGCTGGGAGTGGGGGAGGGAAATCCCTTTCGTCCAGTACTGGGCTGGCCAAGAACCACAAACCTAGCCAAACAAGCCATGGGGCCAAAACGCTGGGCCTGCTCTCTCTGCCTCTAAACTACAGATGGGTTCCTGCTGTCTCAAGTGGAGAGAGAGGCAGAGCTTGTGTTTGGAACTCCTTAGTGAACTAACAGCATGACAGCTGTTTCCAATCCCTTGGCTAAGGGATGTGAAAAAGATGAGGCGAGGGAGCTCTGGAGCAGGGAGACACGAGGATGACAGCATTGCCAGCCCTTGTGTGGTCACTGGCTAGTAAGCCACTGTTCAGCCCCATGACATGACTTGTTTCCCATCACTGGGCAGGAGTAGTCAGAGGTCTAGAATGAAATGACTCAAACCCTCAATTTGTGAAGCTGAGTTTTCAGGCTGCCTCAGATTTTTAGTTACACCAACTAATAGATCACAGTGAGGCTCTACCAGGATCCACCTTCTTACTTATTGGCAGAGTGAATGGTCTAAAATGGAGACAAGGAGCCTGGACTGCTTTGGGTTCATGGAAGCCACATGGGTAGAGAGAGGAAGCCAAAGGAGTGGTCCAAGGCCTTCATGGCTCTAAGATTGCTATCTGTGAATTGTGCATTGGTTTACTGAAAAGGAATCTATACTTCAGCTGAGACATTCTCAATTCTAGTGTGAGTTTTGTTTTTCTCAGTACATTATAAAGGAGACAAAAATCCTGTGAAGGAAAGCAAGGGCACTAGAGTGTCCTTAAGACCAGTTCTGCCTCATATTAACTGGAAGACCATGCCATGTAGGTCATGGAAGGGCTCGGTGTCCCTACCTGCAGGGTGGACAGGATGGTCTAGAACATTTCACCCTGAGATTCTGTGTGGTCACTAAAATGCTTGATATTTGAGGTTATTAAAAAAAAAATAGGTACACTCTTCCCACCCCCAACCCAGACTGTACTACCACTCAATGATACAATGCCTCCTCATCTGCCCTCTTCACGCAGGAAGAGATGAAAGGGTTTATGACACATAAAAAGCATTAAATGTAGTGACAACTGACCATTTTGCTAAATAAGGCTTGCCTTTATACAGCTTCATATGACAACTAGAAAAGGCTGGGTTTTACCTCTCTCCTCCCCTAGACCTGTTCCTTCAGGTATGCAGGATCTCTCCTTGTTCCATCGCTCCTTATTCTACCGAGGAACCCTAAGTTACACAATGTCCTATAAAGAGGCTGCATGTACTGATCAGCAGCCACATGGTGATGACAGACAGGTCTGACATTACAAAGAGGTATGTTCAGCAGATTCCCATGGGATTCCATGGGAATTCAAGCTCCACAGCTAGGAGGCAGTGGATACTGATGACGAAGCTCTCTGTAGGCAACTGATCTGGTGGACCTATTAGAGGACCATGATGGCTGTGCAGAACCTTGGACTGCAGACAGAGGGTATTCACTCTAAGATAGCGTAGGAGGGCTCTTGCTCAACAAGCAATCAGCCTGTCATATAAAAGGAGCAGCTGCTGCTTGCTACCGCACAAGGAATGATGTCTCCCAGGTGGTGGTTTGAGGGGGCAGGACCCAGACCTAGACTTTGGGGGCCTGACTTGCATCCCTAAGCTGCTCCTCCCTGGCTCCTTTGAGGGCATCACACTCCTTCTGCCAATACATCCAGCTTCCGCAGTTCCCATTCTTGAGCTGCCTCTGTAGTTTGCTTCTCTTCCCTGTCCTTGGCACCTACATTACTGACTGACCCAAACAGCCTTTGTGTATTGTAACATGTAGTCTGCAAATCGCTTCTCACTTTAGCGATTTGCAGACTACATGTTACAATACAGAATAGGATAAAGGGAGTTATCCTTCACGTTTAGCCACTTTAGGCCTTAATTTTTTTTGAGATGGGGTCTGGGTCTGTTGCCCAAGCTTAAGTGCAGTGGCACTACAACCTAAACTCCTGGCCTTGAGTGATCTTCCTGCCTCAGCTTCCCAAACTGCTGGGATTACAGGTGTGAGCCACTGTTCCCAGTCCCTTTCAATTTCTTAAATTGAGCCGAGTGACAGGCGGGGGGACCAGTCTTTTGAGGAGACCCAGGTGCTAGAGGCTGAACAGGTGGCCAGTGTCCACGAACAGCCACTGCAGAGTGTTCCTACTCAGATCTAAGCTCACAGGGCTTGTGAAGCCACAGAAATCTAAGGGTAGTACTGCAGGACAGGTCCAGTATGGTGGTCTTGGCAGGAGAAAGTAGCAGCTCCTGGATAGGAACCTTGCCCAGGTCAAACTCACTGTGGAGACTCCCATCCTTGCTACTGGTCCTTGTCATAGTGATGGTGGCCAAATAAGCCCTGGCTCAAAGGCTCTGACAGGCAGAAAAAGACTCAGAGCCTACTCATTTGTTCAGTGGGTACATGGACAATGCCCGTGCCCACTGCCACCACCACCACCACACTGACCTTTAGTATTTGGTTATGCTGGTATCATCAAATGAGTTAAGATATATTTGGTTGCCGGGTGTGGTGGCTCACGCCTGTAATCCTAGCATTTCAGGAGGCTGAGGAGTGCGGCTCACTTGAGGTCAGGAGTTTGAGACCAGCCTGACTAACAAGATGAAACCCCATTTCTACTAAAATACAAAAAATTAGCTGGGTGTGGTGGTGTGTGTCTGTAAACCCAGCTACTCGAGAGGCTGAGGCAGGAGAATCACTTGAACCCGGGAGGTGGAAATTGAAGTGAGCCAAGATTGTGCCATTGCACTCCAGCTTGGGCAACATGAGCAAAATTCCGTCTCAAAAACAAAACAAAACAAAACAAAAAGTTTGGTGAATGCACCTTATGCATTTGAGAAGCATACAAATTAGCGTAATAGAAATATAAGTTAGGCTGAGTCTATTTACTGTGTTCAAATCTTTCGTATGGTTACTGATTCTTCATCTTGGACTACTTACTGTATGAGTGTCCAATCTTTTGGCTTCCGTGAGCCACAACGGAAAGAGAATTGTCTCAGGCCACACATAAGGTACATTAACACTGCCTGATGAGCTTTAAAAAAAATCTGTGACTCTGTTTACTTTTCATTTCTGTCAATTTTTGCTTTGTGTGGTTTTTTTTTTTTTTAAGACAGTCTTATTTTGTCGCCCAGGCTAGAGTGTAGTGACACAATGTTTATTCACTTCAACCTCCACCTCCTGGGTTTTCAAGAAAATCTTGTGCCTCAGCCTGGGGCTAAAGGCATGCGCCATTATGCCCGGCTAACTTTTGTACTTTTGGTAGAGATGGGGTTTTGCCATGTTGGCCATGCTGGTCTCCACTCCTGGCCTCAAATGATCTGCCCTGCCTGCCTGGGCCTCCTAAAGTGTTGGGATTATAGGCATGAGCCACTGTACCCAGCCTCTTTGTAAATGTACCATTTGGCACACTCACAAATAATCTGGCCATTGGATTTAGCACCAGCTCATAGGTGACTCTGACAAGAGGTTCTTAAAGACTAGCAGAGGCAAGAGCTTGACTGGAGTGGATTTCAAGAAAGTGAGAGGAATGAACGTGGGATAATACACACAAACAGCTCTTTCAAGAAGTTTAACTATACAGGAAAAGAAAGTATGGTAGTTGACAGGGAAAATAAGGTCAAAGGAAAGTTTTAAAACAGTCACATGCTATTACTTCCGTTATGCTAGTGAACATCTAGTAGAGATGGAAATCAGTAATATAGCAGAGATGTTGGGAGGAGATGGCTTCTGCTAGGAGCATGAAGACTGTTCACAGAACTACAGGAGAAGGCAGTCCCTGTGGGCATAGATGGTCACTCAGGGAAATTATCTATTAATTGCTTTTATTTTCACGGTCAAATACACAGGAATAGCATCTTACCTGAGAGTGAATATGGGGAAGGAAATACCATTGTTTGAGGAGATAAGGTATAATTAGTTTTCTTTTCTTTTCTTTGAGACGGAGTTTCGCTCGTTACCCAGGCTGGAGTGCAATGGCGCATTCTCGGCTCACCGCAACCTCCGCCTCCTGGGTTCAAATGATTCTCCTGTCTCAGCCTCCCAAGTATCTGGGATTACAGGCATGTGCCACCATGCCCAGCTAATTTTTTTTGTATTTAGTAGAGGGAGACGGGGTTTCACCATGTTGGCCAGGATGGTCTCGATCTCTTGACCTTGTGATCCACCCGCCTCGGCCTCCCAAAGTGCTGGGATTACAGGCGTGAGCCACCGCGCCCGGCGTATAATTAGTTTTCTAAGAGAGGACAGTGAGGACACTAAGTATACATACACTTAGTGCATGATAAGCAGCATGAGCAATAAACCAGGTTCAAATACTGACCGAGTTGCAGGCATTTGCACGTTCTATTTTAGAAAGACCCTTCAATTCAGTATCAAATACATTCATCTTCTCTACTAGGCAAGTGAGAGCAGTCTCTGTAGCTTCTCCAACTTTTTCATACACACCCTTTGCCTGTATTGGTTAAAGGCACAGAAAGTTGAAAAAAGGGAGAAATACACAGATAAATTTCTCTTTAATATTTTTTTTCATATAAGGACCATCTGTCCTCTATTACATCATTATTCTATGGCCATTTTTAATCCTCCTCTGGAACAGGTGACCCAGATAATTAAAAACATACTCAAAGTACAGGTATGCATGTGATCTTATTCTAATAAGTAGGTTTTTCATTTCCCTTAAATATAAAACACCAATCACAGTATTTATTATTTCACAGAAACATAAGAAGCCACTGATCACACTATTAATTCAAAGAGAGACTTCACATAGTAATGTAATTCCATGTCATTGCTTATCATTCAGAAAAGTTAACATTCTGTCTCTGACAGGGATTGGCTTGCCTTTGAGACAGAAACTCTACCCTTTGCTTTCAGGAAAGGATTTTCTATCCAGGGCTTTATTAATTTCTAGTAAGTATGCTATCAACAGATAAGAACATCACATACACTACAACAATGTATGCAATACATACATTGCAGTTAACTAACTGCAATGCTCAGTCACAGACATTAAGTGAAAGGTTCTCAGTTTTCTTTGGTGTGGTCATGCTAGCCCCACCATAGGCTTCTGAATGGAAGAGGAAATAAAATCAGGAACCCTTGATTTTCAAAAGGGAGGAAGGAAGGCTGGACTTTTATTCCACCCACCCCACCCTTGAACTAGGAATAGTCATTTCTTCTAAATTATGAAGAGACTTACCTCATTGTAATCCAAAGCAGAGTCATTACAAAGAGCACAAATTGTTGCTAATTCTACCAGACCATCATACTGGTGGCATTTCACTGGTTTATCATCTTTATGCCTGCCAGAAGAGAATACACTTTTTAAAAATAAATATATCTTTTATTGCATTTTAGGTTTTCGGGTACATGTGAAGAACATGCAAGACTGTTGCATAGATACATACGTGGCTATGTGGTTTGCTGCCTTCCTCCCCATCACCTGTATCTGGCATTTCTCCCCATGTTATCACTCCCCACCCCCCGCTGTCCCTCCCCAAGTTCCCCACCACAAACCCCAGTGATGCTCTCCCTGTGCCCATGTGTTCTCACTGTTCAACACCCACCTATGAGTGAGAAAACATGCAGTGTTTGATTCTTGTGTCAGTTTGCTGAGAAAGAGAAAACACTCTTAAGAGCAGGGTGTGGTCGGCTCTATTGATTTTTCCCCAATTGTTTAATAATGAAAAGACAATTTTGGGGACAACAGACTGGAAAAAATTCCAAAGAATCTGAGTGATCATTCCTCAAAATCTGATGTCAGAGCCAGTATTAGACAAATACAAAAGAGAGAATGCATCTCTGATGTCAGAAATCAGTCCGTAAGAAGACCAGAAATTCTTAGTCAATTTAATTCTTCCACCACTGCTATCAGTGAGTAACAAACACAAATCCCACTGGAAAGTTTGGACCCCAGAAGATGCAAAAAGATGACCAGATTATAACTTGTGTTTCATCTTTCAAAGTTTTTGTTTTAAAAAAAATTTACTACTTTCGTCATAAGCGTTGATTTGAGAGCCACATTCAGAAAGCTGTCTTAACTCTGTAGACAAGCTGCAAATCGATACAAATACTAAACTGCCACACCAGAGCCTTTAAATGAGGAGGGTTACTCACACTTCTCCAATAGGTGCATATGTTGATCCAGTTATGGTAAACTCATTAAGGGAACAAGTATCACCTTCTACTCTATCCAGAATGAACATCTGTAGGGGAGAGGGCATCATAATATTTAAAAGGGATTTAAAAAAATACAAATACACTACCTTTGTTAGCTCAAGACAAAGGCAAACCACCTTTTTCATTTACGAACACAACTTTAATAAAATTCACTGAGGCTCACTCAGCATCAGTACTGTCCCTTACTCTAGCTATTATATTAGACTGCCTTGCCCATCACACTCCCGACCAATCGAACAGTCTGAAAAACAGCATCACTGAGGTGCTGAATCAGTGAGCAGCAGTGGCACCAAAGACATAACCCACACAAAATCAAAGTTATGAGGACTCCTGGTCCGCAAAAGGTCAGTTTCAGAGACAAGTTACTCTTTAGATTGCTCAGAATTCCAAATTTCAAATGGCTGGCTGTGAGAGGGCTATTAGGTAGTCCTGCCTTAGAGCTAAGCACAAAAGCTTGGGAAGAACAAACTCACATTTCAGAGCTTCATAAACATTTCCCGAGTAAAATAAGACAAACTGCTTCTCCGCTCCTTCCCACTTATTTTTATTGTGGCAATAGCTCATGTTCTATGAAGCTACATAACTATATGTATACGGTAAGGAGCCCGCAGAGCTGAATGAATTGATGTTCCCTAGACAATACAGATGGAAGCATACTTAGGAAAGGATTTTTATTTTTTAAAACGACATAAGCTATTTTCTTAAAGATAATTTTTTCCCCCTGCTTGATTTGCATTCACAAATTATAATTCAGAAGCCCAGTTTGGAAAAGTAAGATTTAGTCTTGTGTTTTCATTGCAAATGAAAACTTGTAAAACCTTCTCTAAAAAGAAAAAGAAATATAGAAAGTTGATGTCTAAACTATTTTCTCATGCTCTCTTGCAATAAGAGCAATTGATAATTTGATCAAATCATTTTCTAATGGGAATTTTTAATATGTAAAAACAAGTTTAAAAGGCCATGTTTGTTTTAAAAACGTAACTTTTCAGAGCAATTCACCTCATATACGATAAGGAAATTAGCTAATATTTATTTTAAAATAACTTTTTTTTTTTTGAGGTGGAGTTTTGCTCTGTCACCTGGGCTGGAGGGAGTGCAGTACCGTGATCTCAGCTCCCTGCAACCTCTGCCTCCCAGGTTCAAGTGATTCTCCTGCCTCAGCCTCCTGAGTAGCTGGGATTATAGATGCCTGCCACCACGCCTGGCTAATTTTTGTAATTTTAGCGGAGATAACGTTTCACCATGTTGGCCAGGCTGATCTCAAACCCCTGACCTGAGGTGATCCACCTGCCTCGGCCTCCCAAAGTGCTGAAATTACAGGCATGAATCACCATGCATGAAATTTTGAATCTATACCAGAGCCCAAAATATTCTAAAAGACATTCAGAATTTGAATGTACATTAGCTAAATTGAAATGTACTTAGACATTTTTGATTGTAAGCAAGTCAACCATTTAGGATAAGCAGGATGAAAATCTTCCTAAGTCAAGGGCGGTTATGCAATACCACTGCAGGGAGCCTCGTGCAGAATACCAATTAGCACCAGCTTCCTGTTGTGAGGTAGAACTTCACTCAGAACAGGCAGGCCTTTTCTTTATTATAAGAATACATTTTAAGTCAAGCCATTCAAGGGAGAATAGAAGAACAAAAAATTTTTTATAATAAACTTGGAAACAAATTTTAAAAATTGTAATTTTACACATGGCTTATTTTCATGGACATAAAAACTGTTCTGAGGAATTAAGGCTTTCAGGCTAAGTTAAAACAGTTAACTGGGAGAAAGAGAACAGTAAAGACAATCCCTTTCTCTTCCTGAAACAACGAGTAGGACAGAACTAACTTTTAGCCAATTCACCCAAACTTCTGGTTCCAAGGAGTAAGAACTTAAGTAGCTCAAACGCCTTAATATCCAGGAGAAACCTAAGACAAACCTAGAAGCTTTCCACTTTGAAAGCTGGAACACCCCAGTTCTGTCGATTCTAAATGTGGGTTTGCACTTCATAAAGAGCTTGCGGGGGAGGGAGAACCTGTATCTAAAAAATCATCATGAAATTAAAATTGGCAAGATAAAAATTCACAGTACTTAACCGATTATAAAACAATTTCCGATGTTAAAAATAATTATCTAAAACCTGGCGATAAGGCCAAGGTAACTATATCCTTTCAATATCATACAGAAGCATTATTTAACAAGCCCATTCGAGGAAAATGTTACACTGTGCTATTAAAGTTCAAATATATGAGGTTTCCTTATAAGACATTGGTTTTGTAATCTAACCTAGCAATCCTATTCTAATATTCTAATACTGAACACTTCCTCAAATACAGATTCCCTGGCTAATTAATGAGCTGAATAAAATTTGAGACATGTCTACTCTGTATGAGTCATGTGTACCTTCTGGAATAGACTTGTACAAAGTTGTTTAAGCAAAACCTAAGTAAAGTGAATCATACAAAAATAATTCAGCTGTATAATTATTGCATTATTTATTCAGTTGTTACTTTTATTTTTTTTCCCCAGGAGCATGTATACTTTATTGAATGCCATTGTAGAAAAGAGTGTGAGGATAAAGGGCTGATACAGGACTCAGCTCAGGGACAGGGAGAGGAATGGCAAGTGGAGTATGTGGGAAACAGCTCATGGGCAGAGTTCCTGGCCTGGATGATGCCTCCTGATCTATCAACAGACTTGCAATATCGATACTGGGATGATGATCAGCAGAATGGTCATGATGATGCCCAAAAATCAAGGCCCACATGTTAGAGCACTTGGCAGTGGAGGCATAGGCCTGCGCCCCAGTCAGGTCACCATCTTCCTGTCCCTAGACTTCACTATTTACATATCATTTATTATAAGTAATCTGGAGATGATTTCAAGTATACAGGAGGATGAACAAGGTTATATGCAAGTACTGCAGCATTTCACATCAGAGACTTGAGCATCTACAGAGTTTGGTATCTGAGGGAGGTCCTGGAACCAGTCTCCAATGGCTACTGAGAGATGACTGTAGGAACAAGCATGCTACATTCAACATGTTATAGAAAAACCAATTAGGACCTCAGGTAGGGAGATTAACTAGCAGCTTTCTCTAGAACTTATCTGTTAACATACACCTAGAAACAGAGGATCAGGCAAAGAAGAAAGAAGGATGAGCACGGTGGCTGATGCTTGTAATCCCAGCTCTTTGGGAGGCCAAGGCAGGAGGATCACTTGAGCCCAGGAATTCAAGATCCTGGTGACATACTGAGAACTTGTCTCTACAAAAAAATAAAAAATTAGTGGGGCATGGTGGTATGCACTTGCGGTTGCAGCTACTTGAGAGGCTGGGGTGGGAGGACCACTTGAGCCTGGGAAGTGAGGCTACAGTGAGCTACAACTGTGCCACTGCACTCCAGCCTGGGCAACAGAATAAGACCCTGGTTTTTTGTTTTTTTTTTGAGACTGTGTCTTGCTCTGTTGCCTGGGTTGGAGTGCAGTGGCGCAATCTTGGCTCACTGCAACCTCCGCTGCCCGAGTTCAAGCAATTCTCCTGTCTCAGCCTCCTGAGTAGCTGAGTCTACAGAGGCATGCCATCATGCCTAGCTAATTTTTGTATTTTTAGTAGAGATAGGGTTTCACCATATTGGTCAGGCTGGTCTCGAACTCCTGACCTCAGATGATCCACCTACCTTGGCCTCCCAAAGTGTTGGGATTACAGATGTGAGCCACTGCACCTGGCCTTTTTTGTTTTTTTTAATTAAAGGAAAATAGAATTTCTCTAGTTCAGTTATATAGAATACAAGTATATTAGTCACGCTGTTATCCTGTATTTTGTGAAACAGTTTTAGGAATCAAATGATTATATCCTCTCAAATATTAGATATTAGGCTCAGGCTACACACACATGTTATAGAAAAACAAGCCCGAGAGAACGATCCAAGATGGCCAATCGCTAACATCCCGGGATTGCAGCTCTCAGGGAAGGCGCGGAGAACTAGAGGATGCCACACTTTCAGACAAATTCTGGTCGCTCACGGAGCAGAAGATCCCCCAGTGGAGGAAATACACGGGTGGCCAGCGCGACTCTCGTGGCCGGCGCAGTGGTTCCGCTGGCACCTTGGCGCGGCAGCTCTCGGAGCAGAGTAAACAGGTTCAGAGGACTCACACGGGCCCCCAGCATGACACCAGAGCCCGGCGCAGCGGCTGTGATGGCACCTAGGTGTGGCAGCGCTCGGCGCAGAGTAAACAGGACCGGTTTCCCTTCTGACCGAGGTTTGGAGCCCCAGGAAGGGAGAGTCGCCTACTACGGACACAAGAAGGAAGCCAGACAAGAGAATCCTGGGCAGAAAAGCACCATCAGTTTTAACGCCGCTGCTCTGGCCCTGGGAACTAACAACCTGGACGCCCACTCAAGAGACCTAATCTGAAAGTTGGTAATTTCAAAGACGACAGGAGGATAAATTTACAATGACGGGAAGAAACCAGCGTAAAAAAGCTGAGAATACTCAAAGTCAGAACGCCTCTCCCTCTAAAGATGATCACAGTTCCACATCAACAATGGAACAAGGCTTGATGGAGAACGAGCGCCTCCTGATGACGGAATCACTCTTCAAGGAATGGATAATAAGAAACTTCGGTGAGTTAAAAGACCATGTTGTAGCCCAACGTAAAGAAACTAGGAACTTTGAAAAAAGGTCTGATGAAATCCTATTGAGAATAGACAACTTAGAGAGGAGTATGAGTGAATTAATGGAACTGAAGAATACAATACAGGAACTCCGAGAAGTATGCACAGGTTTAAACACTCGAATTGTTCAAGCAGAAGAAGGGATATCAGAGGTCAAAGTCCAACTTAATGAAATAAAACGTGAAGAAAAGATTAGAGAAAAAAGGATAAAAAGGAATGAGCAAAGTCTCCAAGAAATGTGGGACTATGTGAAAAGACCAAATTTACGTTTGATACGTGTACCTGAATGCGACGGAGAGAATGAATCCAAGCTGGAAAATACCCTTCAGGATATTATTCAGGAAAATTTTCCTAAACTAGCAAAGCAGGTCAACATTCAACCCCAGGTAATACAGAGAACACCACATAGATATTCCTCAAGAAGAGCAACCCCAAGGCACATAATCGTTAGATTCACCAGGGTTGAAACGAAGGAGAAAATACTAAGGGCAGCCAGAGAGAAAGGTCAGGTTACCCACAAAGGCAAGCTTATCAGATTTACAGCAGATCTCTCAGCAGAAACTCTACAAGCCAGAAGAGAGTGGGGGCCAATATTCAACAACCTCAAAGAACAGAACCTTCAGCCCAGAATTTCATATCCAGCCAAACTAAGCTTCACAACTGAAGGAAAAATAAAATCTTTTATGAACAAGCAAGAACTCAGAGATTTTGTTACCACCAGGCCTGCTTTACAAGAGCTTCTGAAAGAAGCATTACACACAGAAAGAAACAACCAGTATTAGCCTTTCTAAAAATACACCAAAAAGTAAAGAGCACCAACATAAAGAATTTACACCAACGAATGGATAAAACAGCCAGTCAACATCAAATGGCAGTAACCCTAAATTTAAATTGACTAAATCCCCCAATCAAAAGACACAGCCAAAACCCAACTGCATGTTACATCCAGACCTGTTTCAAATGCAAGGATACACAAAGACTCAAAACAAAGGGATGGAGAAAGATTTACCAACCAAATGGAGAGCAAAAATAAATAATAAATAAAAAGCAGGAGTTGCAATTCTCCTATCGGATAAAATAGATTTTAAAGCAACAAAGATATAGTGGTAAAAGGATCAATGCAACAACAAAAGCTAACGATCCTAACACCCAGATACGAGACTTAGATTCAATGAGACAGAAAATTAATAAGGATATCAAGGACTTGAACTCAGATCCCGAACAAGTAAACTTAATAAATATTTATAGAGCTCTCCACTTCAAACACACAAAATATACATTCTTGTGAATACCACATCACACCTACCCATAAGTTTAAATGAAACATTGATGGGCCATTATTAATACCCAATTTTTTTCAAAATAAAGCAATATTTCCATTTACTCTCCCTCTTTCTCTTCCTCTTTCTTCCTCTCCTTTACTTATTTTTTTTTTTCTTTTATTCTCTCAAAAAAAAAGAAATCAACTTGTAAACCTCTAGATCCAGGTCGGCAATGTCTCTCTCTTTGCTTGATTTCCTTCCTTTCTTCCCTCCCTCCCTCCCTGCTTCCTCCCTTCCTTCCTTCATCCCTTTCTTCCTCCCTACCGTCCTTCTTCCCTCCCTTCCTGCCTTCCTTCCCCCCACAAAAAAAAAAACAACAAAAAAACAAGCCCACAGAAAGGTATGAAATTACAAATCAAAAGTTTTGATGGCATGAAGGCATGTTGGTAGGATGAACAGAAAACCACCACCGGAAAGATTCTAAATTATTCTTCTTACCCTGCAGACTGACATCTGGTTTGTTGTAAGTGTACCAGTTTTGTCCGAGCAGATAACAGAAGTACAACCAAGGGTTTCCACAGACGGGAGGCTTCGAACAATGGCATTTTTCTTTGCCATTCTGCGAGTTCCAAGAGCCAGGCAGGTGGTGATGACTGCAGGCAGACCTTCAGGAATGGCTGCTACAGCCAGGGCCACTGCAATTTTAAAGTAGTAAATAGCACCTCTGATCCAGGAGCCTCCATGAACTGGGTCATTGAAGTGCCCAATATTTATGATCCAGACTGCAATGCAAATAAGGGAGATGACTTTGGAAAGCTGTTCCCCAAATTCATCTAGTTTTTGCTGAAGGGGTGTTCTCTCCTGTTCTGTTGCCACCATTTCATCCCGGATCTTGCCAATTTCAGTGTTAACTCCAGTTGCTACCACCACTCCCATAGCTTTCCCAGCAGCAATGTTTGTACCCTAGGATAGAAGTAGAGAACTGGTCACAAGATGAATGCCACATCCCAAATAAAATACTGACGCTGAATTTTGACTAGGGCACCCAGATTCTCACCACATTCTACTAGCCCTCTGCTGGCTATTGTTCAAGCAACCAGCCATACAACTGTGACAACCAGCAATGCTCCACATAGTACTTACTTACACCAGGCAGCTCTGTACTAGCCCACCTTAACTTCTATTTGAGCCTGGCTTGCAGAGGATCTTCAAGCAGTGCTCTGACCCCTCTGTGTTCTCCATTTTTTCAAACTTGTATAGTTCAACTCTAAGCATTCTCCACCTCTGACTCCCAACAACTCAACCCCTACTTTTCTCATTGTAATAGGAAAGGCAACCAGTCCCACCGGCTATTTTGAGAACCCCTACTCAAGTGCCAGGGTCCAAAAACCAAATCAAGTGTGAGCACTCTCTCCCATGCCACTTTAACTCCTAGTGTTATAACAGAAGGACATGGCTTCATTATTTTCAGTACCTCTATTTACTTACTATGGGTGGTAGTTAGGCTCTGATACAAACCCACAAATGTCCCCAACTTGAAAATCATTACAGATTCCAAACCAAAAATCCTTGCATTTCCTCACTATTCAAAAAATTTTTCACATCAACAGAAAAAGTGAAAAAGTAAAATGAACATTCATATACTTTGCACCTAAACTCACCATTATTAACGGCTTGCCACATTTGCTTCCTCTCTCTTAACACACACCTTTTTATTGTGAACCATATACAAATAGCAGCTGTCATTTACATCATTTTGAAAACACTCTTTATAGGCTAAGGCTTTTCCAAACGAATCTACTCTTCAACTATGTTTGCAGGTAAGAGTTTGAAGATGTTTGAGCTAGTCTGTTTTTTTTGGTCACCCCAAACCTGCCAATTAAAAGACACTGAAGTCACATGTTCAACAATAATATGTTACGGCCATATTCTGACAGCTAAGACTGACTATGAAAAGTGTGATTATCCTTTAGAATGATAGCCTATGAAAAACGTAACATTTGTGGACCATTCGGCTTTGGAAATGTCTCTAAATAAATTAAAAACATTTCATCAAGTACTTACAGAAAACAGCATGTTCTTTTTATCTTGGTTGACAGCTCGTGGGTCAGGGACGGGATCAGTGTGCTTGATGACAGAGACAGATTCACCTAAGCAGGTTGTAAGACAAAAAAACAGATCTCTGCAATCCACGTCAAGAAACTGGAACCTCTGATTCATGCCCACCCATTACCACTCTTGGGATACTGTCAGTGTGAGAAAAGGGCTAACGGCCCAATTCATCCAAAGGAGGTAAGCTGGAAATATTTAGCAATGTAAATTCATACCAGAGCAAACGGTGTCAGGACAAAAATGAACACAATTGCAAAATAAGTGAATTTTCAAGTACAATCCTCACTGATTACCTTTATTTTCTGGAGTAACTATTCAAGTTAATTTATTTTTCAGTAATCATTTTATACTCTGATACTGTGACTATATATTTACATATATTTGTTGTAAAGTACTTTAACGAATACTTTAACATATATACTGATCCTTTTTTTTTGGAAACAGGGATCTTGCTCTGTCATCCGGGCTGGAGTGCAATGGCACCATCATGACTCACTACAGCCTCAACTTCCCAGACTCATGCAAATCTTCCCAACTTGACTTCCTGAATAGCTGAAATTACAGACACCCGGTACCACATCGGGTTAATTTTCCTTCTATTTTTTGTTGAGATGGGGTTTTAGCATGTTGCCTAGGCTGGTTTCCAACTCATGGGCTCAAACAATTTGCCCATCTTGGCCTCTCCAAAGTGCTTGAATTACAGGTGTGTGCCACCACATCTGGCTATACTCTGAAGTAGCAATTAGCAAGTGTACTGGAAAGATCGTATGATAAATAAAGAACTATTTCTTTCTTTTTTGGAGAGGGGGGAGACAGAGTTATGCTCTGTTGCCCAGGCTGGAGTGCAGTGGCACAATCTTGGCTCACCGCAACCTCTGCCTTCCAGGTTACAGCAATTCTCCTGCCTCAGCCTCCTGAGTAGCTGGGATTACAGGTGCATGCCACCATGCAGGGCTAATTTTTGTATTTTTAGTAGAGACAGGTTTTGCTATGTTGGCCAGGCTGGTCTCAAACTCCTGACCTCAGGTGATCCACCCACCTCAGCCTCCCAAAGTGCCTGGATTACAGACGTGAGCCACTGTGCCTGGCTGATTTCAATTTAAAAATCACGTCACAGATATATAATCAGCGTCAATCTGAGTAAAATATGTCTCCAAATGTTACTTTAAGTCACAGGTAGCAAACCTCACTCTCAATATTTGACCAAAAAAATTGGTTCCACAATTTAGCCTAAAACTACATTGTGATTACTTAATGAAAGATAACATTTGAGAACCTGTATGAAGTTTAAAAAAATTTAAAGAATTTTTTTAGTTTTTTATTATAGGCAAGGCGCAGTGGCTTATGTCTGTAATCCCAGCACTTTGGGAGACTGGAGGCGGGCTGATCACTTCAGGTTAGATCAAGACCAGTATGACCAACATGGAGAAACCCCGTCTCTTCTAAATAAAATACAATTAGCTGGCGTGGTGGTACGCGCCTGTAATTCCAACTACTCAGGAGGCTGAGGCATGAGAATCACTTGAACCCCAGAAACAGAGGTTGCACCAAGCCAAGATCGTGTCACTGCATTCTAGCCTGGGCAACAGAGTGAGACTCTGTCTCCAAAAAAACAAAAAGTTTTTCATTATAGACTGGGTCTCACTATTTGCTGTTCTCAAACTCTTGAGCCTACTGCCTCAGCCTCCCTAAGTGCTGAGATTACAGGCGTGAGCCACTAGTAGTTTTTGTTTGTTTTTTAGTAGCGTGAAAATGGAAAAGGAAGTTTTTAAATGGCAACTACCTCATTAGGGCACACTATGAGTTCACACATATAACCCAACCATTTCCCCAACATTTTAAGGCTTAATTGGCCTTCAGCTTGTTGCAGCTAATGGGAGTTTTAATAAGTAAGCTATTTATAAAGATACAATACCAAAAAAAAAAAAAAGAGAGTCGAGGTGACATCACTATCTCCATGACATTAGTTGCTTTCCAAAACTGATAATCAGATAAATCTTGATAGCCTTTAGACTTTATATTTACTATTTAATTCAGGTTAGCACTGTATTTAAAGTTAATTCTTCTGACAACCTTACTTCCAGTTAGTATGAACCTTCTACCCTACATTGTGCCTTTATAACACAAAAACAGGAAAATGTTTCAAACAATTGTACAAACTCCAGGTAGTACAACTTTCACCTCTTATAGGGGTTAACTTTTGTTAATTGTGTATTTGGATATTGTAAAGATTGATGAAAAATTAGCATTCCTCCAATGAAAAAAATTATAGGACTAAAGTCTATTTTCCTTGCCTGCAAAAAGAACATTGAATAAGTAATTTGCTTTTCACAAAACAGACAATTCAACCTTAAGATTATGACCTATGATAATGATTAATTTTTTTTGGAGGTGGGGGAAGACAGAGTCTTGCTCTGTTGTCCAGGCTGGAATGCAGTGGCACAAGCATGGATCACTATACCCTTGACCTGGGCACAAGTGATCCTTTCACCACAGCCTCCTGAAGTAGCTGGGATTACAGGTGTGCATCACCACACCTGGCTAATCTTTGTATTTTTTTAGAGACAGGTTTTTGCTATGTTGCCCGGGCTGGTCTTTCACTCCTGGGCTCAAGCCATCTGCCCACCTCAGTCTCCCAAAGGGCTGGAATTACAGGCGTGAACCACCGTGCCCAGCCACTTTTTGTTTTTAAAGCATATCTTTAAAATCATATAGGCAGCCGGGTGTAGTGGTTCACACCTATAACCCAGCAGTTTGGGAAGCCAAGGCAGGTGGATCACCTGAGATCAGCAGTTCAAGACCAGCCTGACATAAGGTAAAACCCTGTCTCTACTAAAAATACAAAATTAGCCAGCTGTGGTGGCAGGCACCTGTAGTCCCAGCTACTCAGGAGGCTGACACAGGAGAACTGTTTGAAACTGGGAGGTGGAGGTTGCAGTGATCCGAAATTGCACCAGTGCACTCCAGCCTGGGCGATGAAACAAGACTCTGTCTCAAAAAAAATTAAAAAGAAAAGAAAAAAGAACACACCATATTGGCAAAAAGCATAACTGATAAAGCACTACGAAATAAATACCTTAGAGAGGAGTAAGATGGGAAACCTTAAAGGGACAGTGAAGCAAGAGCCAACTCTACTGGCAATGGAGATATGAAAGGGTCAGTCTTCAGAAATTCAATGACCTTCTAATATATCATACTTACCTGTGAGAATCGACTGGTCAACTCTTAGTGTGGTAGATTTGATGGAAGTTAATCTTATATCAGCAGGAACTTTGTCACCAACTAATTAGGGGGGGAAAAAAAGGCAGCTAAAATGAGTAACTTTTACAACCATGTTACCTAAAAATAAATATCTCAAACCAAACTCAATCTTTAAAGAAAATAAATGATCTGCATTTAACACAAATATATAAAATTCTGTTAAAGCAAGCAAAGTGACAAACTTATCTCAGGGTCATAAAAACTTTGGATAGATTCAAGATTTGAATTAGGAAGGAATAGAATGAAGCTTAAGGAAACCTAACTATACATTATTCTAAAAAGTTTGGCTCTGTATCTTCAGACAGGCCTTCAAGCTTTCACTTTAAAGAATACTCTCCTAGTTAGCAATATTAAGTAACATATTTTCTAAGACTTACTACTTATATACAAGGCACAGCAAAGAGAATCAAGTTGTATATGCCATGATTCATTCCATCAAAAAGGCTAAGTTATTGTGAACAGGAAGCAAATGGCTCCCTTTAAAAAGATATTCAATTAACAACACACATGGCAAATGTAAAATAAAACTACACAATAACACCACTTTTTTTTTTTTTTTTGAGACAAGTTCTTGCTCTGCCACCTAGGCTGTAGAGAACAGTGGGGTGATCACAGCTCACTGCACCCTTGACCTCCCACTTCAGCTTCCCAAGTAGTGAGGACTATATTTGCACAGCACCACACCTAGCTAACTTTTTTTGGGTGGGGGAGGAATGGGAGGAAGGGTAGAGACAGGGGCTCAAGCGATCCCCTCACCTTGGCCTCCCAAAGTGTTGGGATTACAGGCATGAGTCACCACACCCAGCCAGAAATGCCATTTTTAAAAACTGTCAATTTTATAACTGAATTGAACCTAAAAGAAAAAAAAGGAAAAAAAAAAACTGTCAATTTGACAACAAGAGTTGAGAAAATACACCTGGTCATCAAGGATGTATAGAAAGAGGGATTTTACACAGCATGACCATAAGCTCTGGAAGTCTTGCAGTTTTAATCAGTTAAAAAAAGCAGAGGTATAAATCACTGGAGGCAACTCATCCAGTGCATGTGCTGAAGATTAACAAAAATTCTGTCAGTGCACTGCTGACAAAGGACAAACACTGAATGTATATGATGTAACTAGGCATACATACTATGTTAACAACAGCTGCAAACTCTGGGGGACAAATTGTAATACATACCAAAATTGTGCAGCATAATCTTTTTTTTTTTTCCTTTGAGACTGAGTCTCGCTCTGTCACCCAGGCTGGAGTGCAATGGCGTGATCCTGGCACACTGCAACCTCTGACTCCCCGGTACAAGCGATACTCCTGCCTCAGCCTCCCAAGTAGCTGGGATTATAGACGTGAGCCACTGGGCCTGGCCACAGCATAATCTTTTTATACCGCGGAAGAATTCATTCTACAGATATGTTCGTACAACATGCAATCAATTCATACTATATAAAATGACAACTTCCTCTAAAATATACTGTACATTAAGTGGGGGACAAACAAGATGTGAAACATCATCATCATGTGCATGGGGCTACCAATGGCATAAACACCTCTGGGAAGGTGTAGCAAACTAGTAACACTGGGCAGCTGGGGCATATACCCTTGATATCTTTTGAAGTACCAATTAAATGAATAAACCTCTTGCATAACCTGAAGATCTTTAAGTCAACTGAGTCTTCTTTCCTAGGCCAACAAGTTCCTTTAATAGCTCTTAAAGGACCCAAATCTCAGCCCCTTTCCTTGATGTGTATTTAAAAACAATGCCACAACATAACCTTAGTAACAGATAGTCATGTACCTTGAGAATACTGCCCAGCCCCCTGCTGGTATTAAAATATTGCCAAATGCGTGCACAATCACACGATGCAGCTGGACATTAAAACAGCTGTCTGTTAATCCCAACACTGGGTGAGGCGGGAGGATCACTTGAGGCCAGGAGTTCGAGACCAGCCTGGTCAAGATGGCAAAAACCCATCTCTACTAAAAATACAAAAAGTTAGCTGGGCATGGTGGTGTGTGACTGTAGTCTTAGCTACTCAGACAGTTGCAGTGAGCTGAGTTCACACCACTGCACTCCAGCCTTAGAGACAGAACAACACTCTGTCTCAAAACAACAACAACAAAACAGCTGTCTGTGACTTCCTGAAAGATAATTAAGGTGGCTTTTTATTGAAGACACATAAATCCAAATTGGTTTTAAAAATCTGCCACAGGTTGGGCATGGTGGCTTAGGCCTATAATCCCAGCACTTTGGAAGGCCGAGGCAGGCAGATCACCTGAGTTTAGAAGTTTGAGACCGGCCTTGGACAAGGTGGTGAAATCCTGTTTCTAATAAAAATACAAAAATTAGCTGGGCATGGTGGTGGGTGCCTGTAATCCCAGCTACTTGGGAGGCTGAAGCAGGAGAATCGCTTGAACCCGGGAAGCAGAGGTTGGAGTGAGCCGAAGGTGCACCACTGCACCTTGGTAACAGAGTGAGCCTGGGTAACAGAGTGAGACTCCGTCTCAAAAACAAACAACAAACAAAAAACCTGCCATATTCTAGTATTCTCTTAGCTAGAAGGACCATCAAATCATCTTGACCAAACAATGTCCTCTTCATTTTATGCACAGGAACTCAGGCTAGGAAGTAAAAAGAGCCTTCTCCAAGGAAGTTCAATTAATGAAAACCTTTATTTAACTTGCTGTGTGACTGTTACATTCCTTTTGTTGGTTTTAGAGTCAATTTAGGGTTGACTCTACTAGGAAAACAGGTTCTCTTAGAGTCAAAACGTCCATGAAAGTAAAGGTCCACTGAATACTATTCAAGTGAAGACAAAACAATTTCCCTTTGTCCGGAGAGGCTTCTGTGAATTTCAGACACAGGATTTTGTGCATGAAGAGCAGGCAAGACTGTCTGATGATCACATCCAGTAACATTTCCCTGGTGAGGCATGTCAATGCCCTTAGGGCAAGTGGTAGTGGAAAATTCTTATTCTTGCCAAGGGGATGCTGTGCAATTTTTTTCTTCCAAATGTTTTTCTCTGACTCTTTGGGTGGAGGCAGGTATAATAAAAGAATAAACTCTGAACTACCTTCCAACTGTTTTACATCTAACACCTTTCAAATCCAGCTCTTGAAAATCCACAGCTCTTTAATTTGCTATTACAATAAAGATTTCCAATCTGAACAAAATCCTCAGAGTACACTTGAAGTTAGGTTACCAAGAGTGCAAGTAAGAGTTCATTAAATTATTAGTCTGCCACATTTTAGAACTCAATGTAAGTGTTCTTTACCTTACAGGTAGTGTTTATAAGCCATGATACTAAACATTATTTATACTACTTGTTACATATAAATACTGATGGTTAAAACTAGCATTATATTACATAGAAATACTGATGGGCATGGTGGCTCACGCCTGTAATCCCAGCACTTAGAAAGGCTGAGGCGGGCGAAACACTTGAGGTCAGGAGTTCAAGACCAGCCTGGCCAACAGGATGAACCTCTGTCTCTACTAAAAATATAAAAATTAGGCGGGTAGATAGGAGCATAATAAATAAATAAATAAGTAAATTAGGTCATGCGCAGTGGCTCATGCCTGTAATCCCAGCACTTTGGGAGGCTGAGATGGGTGGATCACAAGGTCAAGAGATCAAGATCATCCTGGCCAACATAGTGAAACCCAGCGTCTACTAAAAATACAAAAATTAAGCTGGGCGCAGTGGCTCACGAGGTCAAGAGATCGAGATCATCCTGGTCAACATGGTGAAACCCCATCTCTACTAAAAATACATAAAATTAGCTGGGCATGGTGGCGCGTGCCTGTAATCCCAGCTACTCGGGAGGCTGAGGCAGGAGAATTGCCTGAACCCAGGAGGCGGAGGCTGCGGTGAGCCGAGATCGCACCATTGCACTCCAGCCTGGGTAACAAGAGCGAAACTCTGTCTCAAAAAAAAAAAAAAAAATTTAGCTGAGTGTGGTGGCATGCGCCTGTAGTCTCAGCTACTCGGGAGGCTGAGACAGGAAAATTTGTTTGAATGCAGGAAGTGGAGGTTGCAGTGAGCTGAGATCATGCTCCTGCACTCTAGCCTGGTGACAGAGCAAGACTCCATCTCAAAAAAAAAAAAAAAAAAAAAAAAAAAAAAAAAAATTAGCTGGGCATGGTGGTGAGTGCCTGGAATCCCAGCTACCTGGGGGATGGAGGCTGCAGTGAGCCGAGATTGTACCACTTCACTCCAGCCTGGTGACAGAGTGAGACTCCATCTCAAAAAAAACAACAACAAAAACCACACACACACCCCCACAACTTTTTATTAATCAATTGTTATGTATGCATTTAGAAAACCTAATTTATTGTGGCAAATTCCAAATTATTAAAATTTTTATAAGAAAAACACTACGTAAAACTAGAAATCACCTTCTAAATACCACTACTGTTTTTCAATCTAAATGGCTCCTAGGAAAAGCAAGCCTTAACAGAACTACCCTAAACTACTTAAACATTTAACTGTGACTCAAACATTTTTTCCAATTTGAATCATAAATTTTGTAGTTTTTAACAGAACGAATGAAATTCTTCATGAGAAGCTCTAGAGTACTTCAAACTACTTCCAGGCTTCACGGTGAACAGGGAAGGAACATTACACAATGCCATAGTATATTACTATGGTTTGCTCCCAATCTGTTTCTTAGACAGCACTGAATTTAAAATGACAAATGTGATCTCCTCAACAGCTTCTTTGGCATCCCAACCTGGGCTTATAACAGCCTCCACGACCCAAGTGGTGTCTGCCTCTCACCCTCTCACCTCCCTCTAAGCGTCACACACTATGCTCTCTAGTTCCTCCAACTTCTTTCTGGGACTTCACATACCCTTTCTTTTCCCACAAATAGTAAGGCTTTCCTGTAACTCCCAGATTAGGCTGGCATCCCTCATTATGTGCCCACAGAGCATCCTGTCTTTTCCTTATACTCGCATTGTTTTGATGTATCTTCCCCACTAAAACCAAAAGCTCCATAAAGGCAGAGTCACTCAGACATCACTGA